GCGGGATGGTCAAAGATAAGTAATTTCTTACTTCATTATTCTGTCATGAGCTACCTTTAACCACAGCCCCTATGGGAAGGCCCCAGTTCATGTCCTAGCTTACTTCCTCTTCTTAACTGGAATATTAGGCAGATAATTCCTCAAAAAGTCTTGCCAAATAATATTAAATGGTCTAACCAGCAGAGCTCAGAATCACTGAATACAGAAAGAGCTGATGACACTTCAGGGAAGGAAGCAGCTGGTGAACATCTGCTAGGAGACAGAATATTAAACTGAAGCATGTAAACACTTAATTCCAAGTAGACTATAGTTCTGACTTAGGTAGATAATTCCCATACTACACAAGGGGGGTGGGAATGGGGTTTCATAGAACAATTCCATTATCTTTTAATTCCATTTTACACAAAGTTTTAGAAGTCCCCTCATGTGTATTTTCTTCAGTTCAGAAGTTTGTAGAGAAGGTAACTCAATTCAACAAGAATTTATAAGTGATTATACATATGATGCTATATGAAGTATTCTTGGACAAAGTATAATATGTAAGGGCTTCAAAAAATTCATGGAAAGGTTGAATTAAAAGATGATGAAATTTTTCCATGAACTTTTTGAAGCCCCCTCATACATAAACCCCAAATTTTAATTCATACCGACTTATTATCTGTGTGGACTTTATCAAGTTCCTTTAATTTCTCTAAGCCTCAGCTTTCCAATAAAATGTAGGTTAAAATAGTACCCATTTCACAGGTTATTATGAGACTAAAATGAGCTACCATATAAGAAGTACTTCGAAATGTGAATCTTTGTAGGGTAGTGTAAACACTCAATACATGATGGCTATTACCCCACCAGCCACTCCTCAGAAACCCTATACAGGGTTGTTGTGATTCGGAACTGACTCAACAGCACTTAACAATAACAGGACTATTAAGAAATGTTGAGGTAGTCCCCAGAGGTTAAAAATACTAGTACAAGCACTGAAGTTAAGAGTTTTGCTTAAATGTTTACAGTCACTAGAAATACAACTTCAGATTTAACCTCTGAGATTAAATCTCATGAATAAAATAACAGAGTTACTGAGGAGAATTAAATGAAATAATGCAGGGACTACGCTTATCAAAGCATCTAATATATAGTAATCACTCAGTATATACTAGCTACTATTAGTAGTGAAGTCTTGGTGTAGCATGATAGGATAAGCACTGGACTGCTAATGGCAAGGTTGGTGGTTCAAACCCCCCAGCTGCTCCTTGGAAACTGACTCATACAGAGTCACCATGAGTCAGAAGCAACTCAACAGCACTTAAACAGCACTGTTAGTAGCAGAAACAGCACCAAGTTAGTATTCGCTGACTCCTCCCTATCAGAGAGCTTCTATTTTCAGTAGAGAGACAAGGCATACACACATATTCAACTTAATCTGTAGGGCACAATTCAGTGGCCAAATGAGTAATACAAGTAGCATGCATTTCAGGATTGAAGTGAGAAAAGATAAGACAGAAGTGATAAAGTAGATTTCAATTTTCTCATTATTTACTTTGTAGTAAATCCAAGTATCACCTCCCCTGCCCCCACCCCACTCAGTTATACTTTGCTTTTCCTTTGGTGGTACTGTAAGGGGGACCTTGGCTTCTGGCACTAAATATGATTACTATATTTCAGGAGACAAATTCATCTGCAAATGCCTGGAAGGGCTTCTGTTTAACTCCAAATCTGGTCACTCTGCAAAGTTGCCTTCTACATTTGTTTACTAACTGGTATTTTTGTCAACTCTCCATGCTAAATTTTTTTCACAATAACATGTTAAAAAAAAAAAAAAGCCATAAAAGCTATTATGAAAACACCTGAAATACCTGAGGGTTGGGGGTGGGGGGAACAGTTGGCAAACAGACATAGAAAGCACTTTATTTGCGTAAAGGAAAGCATTTTAAAATTCTCATGATGAGCAAAAACAAATTGACCAAGGAAATTGCCTACATGTAAATTTAGAGGCTTCTCACCTGTAACACTCAAATGCACACCAGGCCAGGCAGGTAGCAAACAAGTGACTGGAACAGTCTCAGTGGCCTTGAGGAAAGACAACATATAAAAATTATACTCCTCAGAGAACGAACAAGATAGCAGTGAAGTGAGGAGCTCCGTCAGCAACAAGAAGAATACTGGACCAAGCAGGCTCAGGGGATGGTGCCAGAACTCTGAACCACATATAAAGGAATATTTAGAAGGTTGGAAGGCTTACAGCTAGGAGAATTTGTAGCAGAAGCAAGAAACCCATTGCTTTCTAATCCAAGACACTGAGCTGCTCCCCGAGCCACAATCTTGGGTGAGACCAAGCGGGGGAAGAATCAGAGCATCTACGGACGCCTGACAGAAACAAGGAAGAAGAGTGAAAAGGGAAGCCTATCTCCTCATCACATCTACCTGAAGGCAATCAGAAAGTATAAAAAATACCAAAATACACACCCATCTAAGTATTAAGGCCACAGATAACTCCGGAATATACCCATAAAACAGAAACACATGTCCAGATAAGTGACTGAGGCAAATGAGCTGGAAGTAGATCTACACTCCATGCTGGAAGATGGGCAGGCTTTGGAAATGCCTGAGAAGGAATTCAGAAAAATGATTATAAAATGTATTAAAACACAATACAATGGAGTTGAGGAAAATAAGGAAGAAGTCAGGAAAGCACTACAGGAACAATCAAACAAGATATATACAGCATTGGAAACGATTCAAAACCTACAGAAAGAGGTCCAAACAATCAATAATAGAGTATCAGAAATGGACAATACACTGAAAGAGCAAAGGAGTAGAACTGAAGAGATAGAAACCAGAACTAGTGAGCTAGAAGATAAATCTCTCAACACTACTAAGATAGAAGAGCAAACACAAAAAAGGATAAAAAAAAAAAAATCTGAAGAAGGCCTAAGGTTCAAACCGACATTGTGGCTCAGTTCATCATCCTGCAGCACCACACCCAGGACTCCATATAGCTCTACATTTCTGAAGGCATTGTTTCCACCTCTCTGTAGCTCCATGGGAGAAAGATGAGACTTTCTGCTCCTGTAAAAGTTGGAAACCTTGGAAGCCCTACACAGGGTTTTTATGAGTGAGAACCGATTCTGTGGCACAAAAGCAACTAAGCAATCTTGCCCCACAGGATCCCTGGTGGTACCAGTGGTTGAGGCATTCAGCTGTGAATCAAAAGTCTGGTGGTTCAAATTCACTAGTCATTCCATGAGAGAAAGATGAGGTAGTCTGCTTCCTTCAAGATTTACCACATTGGACACCACGTAGGGCACTTCTACTCTGCCCCAGAGGTTTTCTATGAATCAGAATTGAGTTGAATGCAGTGGACTTGGTTTTTAGTTAACCATTCATTACAGAATTCTGCACTCTTCAATTTACATCACAGAAGAATAGCAGTTTTAGAATCCTCATGAGACTCAAATTGTGTTCCTTTTCAATATTCTTGGAGTTTAGGGAACAAAAAGAAATCTACAGGGGCAAGACCAGGACTCTAGGGTAGATGGGAAGAGATTTCCCAATGAAGTTCTCTTAGAACAGTCTAAGAATGAGCAGGTGGGCTGTCCTGATGGAAAAAAATAAATAAATAACTTGGTGCAACATTTCTGGTCTTTTTCTCACAAGTGCAGTTTTCAATTTTCTTAAAACTTCACAATAAGCCCCCTTGATCATCCTGTGTCCTTGAAGAAAATCTATTAAGGTCTCTACTTTGGAATCCCTGAAAACAATCACCACGACCTTCCGAGCTGACCTCATCTTTGAGGTCTTCCCAACCTTCCTTAAAATGACTGAGCCGTCTAAAAGCTGGGGCAGCATTCCTGTAAACTTGTTACAAAGCCTCAATGATTTCACAAGAGTTTTGTTATTAGCCCTGATCTCAAAATTATTATTTTTCCCATGGCACAAAAAGAATCCTTTCTTTTCGAAGGCACTGTAATGAGACGAAGACAAACCTTATCTTCCTCCCGTGGAGCTACAGAGAGGTAGAAACAATGGAAGAACTTGTCTGCAATAATCCCTGATCACAGAAACACGTTAAAACACATTTTGTAAGGAAAAAACTCATGCATGTATGAACAGGAACCCTAGTACTAATACTTTTAAACTCAACTCCTGTATAGTCCACCATTTGAATTTGACTAATAAACAACAACTTCTTGGCTTTACCCGAGACCCCCAAATATCTACATGACCAAATCCTTGCTTACGGCTTAGACACCTTTTCTTACTATATTTTGGCCACATCGGCCTCCTTTCCACTTCTCATACATGCCAGTTCATTTTGGTCACATGTTTAGTACTTGCCACTCTCTTCACCCCCAGATCTTCACATGGCTTTTTATCCTTCTGGTCTTCAGACGACTTCAGACTTAAGACGACTACCTTTCCTAACATTTCCTCATGTTTTCCCAGCCATTCTCTACCAAGTTTCTCCACTTTATGTTCTTTTTAACACTTGTCCACTAAAAGCAGGTTGTTAATTTACAAACTTATTTTCAAGTACGTGAGTTTCAAGGGGGAAAAAAAATTTGTTTGTCATGCTGACAGTCTTATCTCCAGCACATAAAACAGTGCCTGGCTCATGGTAGCTACTAAATAAAAATTTGTTGATCAAATGAATTAATGACTGACTGGTGTAACCCTGTGGGTTAATGCTCTGGACTGCAAGGTCGGTTTAAACCGCAAGGTTGGCAGTTCAAGCTCACCAACTGCTCCTTGGAAACCCTATAAAGGGTCGCTATGGGTCGGAACCGACTCAACAGCACTTAACAGCAACAGAGTCTTGAAGCTACCATAAATCTTCGACCCTTCTGCCATGCCCTATTTCCGATGAGAAGCATCATTAGCATTCGTAGCTTAAGGTGACAAATCTAAGAGTAGCAACTCATTGATAGTTTCATTTATTACATGGTGATACATTCAAATGAAAAGAAATGAATTGAAATAAAATCAAATTAAAAGAAAAAACTTACGGGAAAAATTTCTGAGACAATGTGACTGTTATTGACTTCTACTTCGTAAGATAAGCATTTGCACTCAAAATTCTCTGGATTCTTCCATTCCACATACAAGTCATCATTTTTGAAGGAGATATTTTTAATCTCTGGAGGGTCAGGTTCCACTGGAAGACAGAAACAGACAAAAACAAATTGGCATGCAGGGTTTATGTTGATGAGATACATATATGTGTAGGGATAATGAAGGTCACAGAGTTCAATTAAAATGGAGCTGAAGCTTTTAACGACCTTACATGATCAGACACATTGTTTTAGAATTCCTGGCTAGTTACAATTAATGGAGTAAAGTTCATTTAAACCTTCCTAGTAAAATGGATGTAAAAAGAACATCTTTAGGTTTGAAAGATGACATGAACTCTGACCTGCACCTGGCTAGAAAAGGGTCAGGCTCTAATCAAGACATCCACGTATGGTATAAAGAATATAGAAATGAAATGCTGAGCTCCAAATGTGCTTTCAACGTACAAGGCACCAGGTACAAGGGCTTTTCCTCAGCTGTCACTCATTCCTGATATCCAAGACCACAATTCAAAGTTTCGTTGCTAGGTGCCATCAAGTCAATTCCAATTCACAGTGGCCCCATGTCACTGAGTAGAAATTGCCCCAGAGGGTTTCCTTGGCTGCAATCTTTATGGAAGCAGATTGCCAGGTCTTTCCCTGGTGGAGCTGCCGGAGAAGCTTGAATTGGCAAATTTTTGGTTAGCAGCCAAATGTTTAACCATTTGTGCCACTGGGGTTTCTTGCCAGTCAATTTGTTTTTATCAGGAGGCAGTTATGTTTCAGAAAATGAATAATTAACAGAAAACAATTTGTAGTTGTCAGCTACTAGGTGAGAGGGATCTTGTATGTCACCATTAACATCCAGGAAGAGCAACAAAAGAAGATTTAAAAGGCCCAACTAGGAGGAGCAAAGAAAGGGAAGGCCAGAGAAGGGCTTTGTTGTGAATTCCCTACTAGGCAAGCTGCCCTAGCTCTCTCCTTTGACCTAGAATTCACTTCCACAACTATCTAAGGGTATGTTCAATAGCATTCCATTCCAAGGCATGGGAGCATTTTTAATTACTTATCAATCTATATCTTAATGGAATATTACATCTCTATGCCATGTAGACAGAATCTGAGCTCCCTGGTAGGATATTCCAACAAATAAATAAGCCATTATAAGCCAGCATTCTGCTTTTTGAGATTTACAAAATGCTTGTGCATACCTTATTATCATCTGGAATTAATACTAATCCTTTGAGGTCAAGAACCATGAGCCCATTTCACAGATGAAGACGACTTAAAAAGAATTTATATGCCTTGTCCAGTATGGAGGAGTTGGGACCTCAAGCAGATATTTTGGTTTCAAGTTGAGGGCTCTTTCTAATATGTCTACTCTGGTTGTTTTGATTGCTTTGCGCCTGTACCATATCGAGTGTTCAACATTTTTCATATCATCCTTTCTGACATTGTCTGGATTCTAAACATATGATGATGTTTATTCTGCAGTATCACCCTTTCGAGAAGCAAAAGTAAGAAGAGAATTAATCTTAAGAGTCAGTCAGCCTGAGTTCCAGTCTCAGTTCTTCAACTAACTGTTCTACGCCTCAGAATGTTCCTCAGCAGACAGGGACAAAACATGTGCTTAATAAGTATTAGCAGTTCCAAACTTAGTTCTTTTAAAAAGGCTCTATTAAAGAAAGTTACACATCAATGCAGTTCCTTGCTTTGGGAAGCAATTGAGACCACAACCATTATTTTTTATTTGCAGTGGTTGTTCAAAAGACAGCACTTTTTTCCCCATTCTTGTAGAGGACTTCTAAAACTTACCATAAGAGTTTAAAGGCACTACACTGAAGGATGGTCTAATTTTTCCTGCATTATCCTTGACCATGATTTGGATGCTACCTTGTTCCAAACTGGAATCCTTCAGATTAAAGGAGCAACCAATACGTTGACCTTCACTATAGATGTCGTCACACTGAAGAATTTTTCTCAGGCTGGTGTGCCTACGAGATAAAATAAAAACAACTTTTTGCATTATTTTATTTAAGAAAGTAAGAAATATAGGCTTCTTTTTTAATGACTGAAGGAGATACAGTAATAAGGTAAGACCTCTTGTTTTGTTTTTTACTTTATTTTGTAATATGGCTCCGTTTCACACTGTAAAAAGGCAAGAACATAGCTATAGAAACTAAGCAGTTTCATGATTCTTAAAAATGCCTACCTGGAGTGGCCATCTAAGATGCAACTATTAGTGTCTCCATGTATGAAATTAAGAAGACTGATGAAAAATTGAAGATGCTTGAAATCAAGTAGTCCAATGAACTAATGTAACACGTGAACATCAATTTCTACAACTCTGAGTCCAGAAGTATTAGATCGTGCCTGGCTACCACTATTCTGGTGTGGCGCTGTGGGTTAATGCACTGGACTGCAAAGTTGGTTTGAACCACAAGGTCAGTGGTTCAAGCTCACCAGCCGCTCCTAAGAAACCCTTTAGAGGGCCGCTATAGGTCAGGACCAATTCGACAGCACTTAACAACAACAACTAACACGACTATCCACTGCTCTTAAAGGGGTCACATTAGAAGGTTCCAGATAGAGTGGGAGAAAATGTGGAGCAAAACTCAAAATTATGCAAAAAACAAACAAAAAACAAAAAAACCCTAAGCTTACTGGTCAAAAACAGACTAGAAGAACCCAAGATTATGGCCCTCAGCCACCCTTCAGGTCTGGAACTGAAGTCATCCTCATGGCCCAATTTTTCGCCAAACAGTAGATGGGCTTTTAGAGGGGATAGCAGTATTAGTAAGGAATGCTCATCATGGAATGGTCAACCATTCAAGACCAAAAGGACATCATTTACCTAAGGACAGAGTTCAGAAGGGTTGGGAAAGAGTGAAAAGAAGAACCACAGGGAGGAAGTAGGATCGCTGTTAGTATAAGAAGTGGACTGCAATCATTGAGATGAAACAAAGTATACGATTTGTTGACTGTAAAACTGATGATCTGCTCTGTAAACCTTCACTCAAGTCACAATAAAAAGTGTTAAAAAAAATTGCTCTGACCCCTCCACCTGCTCCTTCTTTTCTTTTCTCTCCCTCATCCATGTCCTAAAGGGTTCATGCCATGTCCTCAGCCCTTTGTACATTCCTCTCCATTTCTTATTCATTCATCCCCAGTTCACTATAATTTCTATGCTTTGGATTCCTGGTCCGTATCTCTCACCTTGAAGCTAGTTCCAGATTTCTAACTGCTCCATTTGCAGTCTTTTCACCTCAAAATGAGCCCTGGTGGTACTGTTTGGATAAGCACTGGACTGCTAACCACAAGGTGGGTGGTTTAAACACACCAGCCGCTCTGCAGGAGAAAGATGAGGCTGGCTGCTCCTGTAAAGATTCACAATCTCTCAGAAACCCTATACAGGGTCTCTATGAGTCACAATCAACTCAATGGCAATAGATTTACTCACCTCAAATTCAGTATTCAAAACATATGTCATTCCTCCTCTCCCATGCTAAATTACTTTTTTTTCTAACCTTCCCCATTTCTATTAGTCAGAGCTTATTTTCTCTGGAATCCCATATTAGACACTTTGAAATCCCCCTTTTTTTTTTCTCCCTCCTTTCTGTATATTTTATCACCAAACTCTATTTTTTTTTTCTTAGAAACAATTATTAGATTCTTTCCTTCTATAATATTCCCACTGTCCACACCCTATTTCTGGTCCTAATCATTTCAGGCTTCATGCATTCTCCAGATAGGCTTCTCTGAGTTTCATGATCGGGTCTCTCCAATCACTGCCAAATCGATGTTCTAGAGACAAAAGGTTTTCCATAGTATCTGACTCCACAGGGAAGGATTAAATGATACCCATAAACAGTGCTGTCGGTTTCTTATTTCCCATTTGACCATGACATACACTTCTGCCAAGCGTTCACAATATAGTGCAGACAAACAGAATGAGCTCGTTAACACTTTTTTTTCACAGGCTATCAACAGATTCTGGCAGAAGACACAATGTGTCAATCCTTACAACATCAGTCATACTGGGAGTTGTATAAAGTTTCAGCAGAAAAGAAAGACAATTTGAAAAATAAACTTAGACAGCGCCCAAACCCTTGACCTTTTAATTCAGAATCATCTTTCATAATCTAAAATGAGAACTCCTCAAACCTTCTCCCAGGGGATCTGATTGAGAAGGTTTCACACAGGGCCTAAGAATCCACATTTGGAAAGCAATTCTCCATGGGACCCTGCTGCCAAATCAGGTTTTTAAGCACTCACACATCTTCAAAGGTGGTAAAAGAAATACTTCAATACAGTAAATGCTCTTGTCCCTCAAGAGAGTAATATACAAGCATTTTCTCCTAGCTCAAGGCTCTTGTGGTTCATGAATAGAATAGAACAGTCTGAAAAGTAAAGTCATTGTCATGGCTAACTCTCAGATCAGAGGAGCCTACAGTGTTTTCTACGCATGGCCAGACACAGAAACTGAAGAAACGTATGACATTGTGTCATGTAATTACAGAAAGCTATGTAGACATTTTTCCCCCCTATAGTGAAAGGAACTCCTCTAATGAATAATCTTTTATGTTCTCTTTTCATTTTGAGAACCTAAGTATTTCACATACTCTCATAGATATACATTAAAAATTTGTTGTTATCATTTAGAAATAGAAAGAAAAGAATAAAATATTGGGTTTTAAATGAGCACACTTCTTTGGACTTCTTATGAAGATTAGATGACAGCCTGAACTACTGGCAAGTATTCAGGTGCTTCCTGTTTAAAAACACACGGGAATTCCTCCACAGAAACACACTACAGGCCAGAGGAGAAAATGTACAAATGGGAGATTAATCTCCCAGGTCTGAAGATGATTCATGAAGTAAGAACTTGCCTAAAAAGCATTGGCATGGCTAGTCAGTAGCTTTGATTCAAGCTCCTTTCAACATGAGCCTATTCCTGGAGGAACACATTTGCCTTAGGTTTTCAGAATGGCTCTGCATGTTCCAGTTGGGAAACAGAAGTGAGTTTTGTGGGACATGCTTTTTACCCTGATACCAAAAGCAATTGCTAGCTTTGAGAAGGAGCACTGGACCTCACCTACCCTTCTTTTGTGGTTTTGATTGCAAAGGATCTATCTGAGGCAAAGAGATGAGAGAGGAAGGGAGCTTGGGGCAGAGCAGGGGAGGAGAAGGTATTGGCTAGGTGTTGATTCTCTGGGGCAATAGAAGAGGTTAACAAAGTGTTCTGACAGCATTGGCAAAGGAGTGGAGATGATTAATAAAAACCAATAATGATGCCGTTGTTGGTAAGTGTCACGGAATCAATTCCAACTCTTAGCAACACTGTACAGAGTTTTCCAAGGAGCAGCTGGTAGATCTTAACTGCCACGCTTGCAGTTAACAATCAAGTACTCCTTCTACAGTGTCACATCAGGATTGCTCTCCTTTATTGAATGCTTTAACCGATACATGTTAGCAATTATACCTTACATTAAAAAAAAAAAACCCTCAAGGGTCTGTGTGCTGACGACCGGGGTGGCAGGCTTGTAGTGTATACCCTCTGGTTGGTTGATGATGCATGGAGGGGATTGTAACCATAGCAATGGCAATGAAACGATATACGATAGGATGAATGTAAAACTAATGTTTCCCCATGTAAACTATCACATAATTCACAATAAAATATTAAAACAAAACAAAAAAACCCCTCAGTCCTCATAAAAGCCTTCATCACTAGGCATTATTGCTTCTATTTGAATGTTAGAGATTATGAAACAGACTCAGAAAGAAGGGACTTTCTCAAAATCACATCGCTAGTAAGGAAGAGAGCCAGGATTTGAACCCAGAGAATTTGGCTCCAAGGAGCCCTGGTGGCACAGTAGTTAAGCACTGGTCTGCTGAACACAAGGTCAACAATTCAAGGAAGATGAGGCTGGCTGCTCCAGCAGAGATGGAAAGTCTCTGAAACCTTACAGAATTCGTTTGAGTCAGAAGTAAGCAGTGGCATTGGGTTTGTTTTGAGTTTAGTGTGGCTCCAGAAAAGAAGACACTGGAGGTTAGTGAGGCAAAGATAGAGAAATCATACCAGTACTGCCTAACTGAACTTTCTGGAATGATGGACATGTTCTCTATATGTCCGATACAGCAGCCACTAGCCACATGTAAAGAAGGTTAGTAAGACTGAGCAATGGAGGTTTCAATTTGATTCCATTTTAAATCAATTCAAACAGACCATCATATACAAGTTCAGGCTGACGCTCAAGAAAATGAAAATGACCTTAAACATATCCCACCTGAATTTAGAGATCATATGTAGAAAAGATTTGATGCATTGGACACTAATGACCAAAAACCAGAAGAGTTGTAGGATGCTATCAAGAACATCATAAAGGAAGAAAACAAAAGTTCATTAACACAAGAAAGAAGGAAAAGAAGAAAATGGATGTCAGAAGAGACTTTGAAACTTGCTCTCTAGTGTAGAGATGCTAAAGCAAATGGAAGAAATGAGGAGGTACAAGAGCTGAATAGAAAGTTTCAAAGGGCAGCTCTAGAAGACGAAGTTAAATATTGTAACAAAATGTGCAAAGACCTGGAGTTAGAATACCAAAAGCAAAGATAATGCTCAGCATTTCTCGAGCTGAGGGAACTGAAGAAAACAGTCAAGCCTCAACTTGCACTATAGAAGGATTCTATGAGCAAAATACTGAATGATGCAGAAATCGTCAAAAGAAGATGGAAGGAATACATAGTCACTTTGCCAAAATGAAATAGTTGAAGTTCAACCATTTCAAGAGGTAGCATATGAATCAATAGCCAATGGCACTGAAGGAAGAAGTCCAAGCCACACTGAAAGTACTGTTAAAGAACAAGGCTCCAGGAATTGATGGAATACAAACTGAAATCCTTCAACAAAGTGATGCAGCACTGGAGGTGCTCACTCATCTATGCCAAGAAATTGGGAAGACAGCTACTTGACCAACTGGTTGGAAGACACTCA